GTGCGCCAACCTCTCATCCAGGTAAATCCGCAGCATCTTCCAATTGAGCCGTCTGGTGTAGAAAATGAACTTGGCCAGTTCTTTGGGATGATCCACTAGTATTCCTTTAGACATGAAGTAGCTGATGCCCTACATGAACACAAAGAGGACAAAATGAAGAAAATACAGGTAGCTGAAGGCACAGCATATGCTCAACCTGAGGTGTGTATGACTGACCTCCTGTGGGTTGGCATTGAACGTCAAGCTGCCCTCGTCTAGTTGAAGGTAGAGTCTTCGGTATGAGAAGCCAGCAGGTAGTCTCTTATTGTAGATAGAGCAGTGTCCCCATGTGGACTTGCACAGCCTGATGGGATATTAAACAGCAGATTTAGAAAATACGAACTACAATGTTACAAAGTATTTTAATTAAGTAGAAAAGAAAGAGAAGCGGCGTACCCCTGCCACAGATATTCATCATGTCCCAGGTCTTGCCAGACGCAGCCAGCCAGGCACAGATCAGTAGCATTCAGGTAGGAGAGGATGGTGATGCCTAGTTCAGGTGGAAGCATCTCCAGATCTATAAACCCATGCTGCTCTTTACCTACAACCCCCCCCCACCCCAGAAAACAGAGGGGAAAATAGAAAACATGTGTTTAGATCTAGGAAACTTTTCCCTGCTGCCAGTGTGTGGAAAATTCAAACTACCGTATTACCTGGGTTTTATTTCAATATGCTGAACACGGCTGCTCTTATAATACCTATAAATGCAGAAGCTTTTCTCTGTAATAGATTTTTAAACAGCAGAGAGCCCTTTGGGGAAATGTGGGCTTGGAACAAACACTTAGGAGGGTTTGATGGGGTTTTTAAGAGCCGTTTGTTTCACTGTGGAGCAGCAGGATAACTGTATGGATTCTTTTTATTGCTCTGTGTATATATGTGATTTTGTCAAAAGAAGGAGGAACGCAAACAGAATCATCTCATTAGTGTTTGCTTCTTTATTAATCCCAGCTCCAGTGAAGGGATGCCTGTACCAGCGAGAAACAATGTTAGCACTCCCCCTAGTGGCCACTGTGCCAAAAAACACTAGTGAAAGGCCGGCCCAAAAGAAAATGTTCTGGCTCTCTAGACTGTAGAAACAGAACCTTCAAGATTACAGATGTGTGCTTAAATATTATTTTATCAATCAGATCAGCAATTGTATCTGTAAAATATCAAATTAAATCAAAGTGGAAATATGTTTCATATTTATTTTCAAGTTCTCATCGCATCCAAAGACAGCTTTTTGTTCAAACTTCAGTGGTTTGTTTAAACACATGTTTGATCTTAATGTGGCCCAAAATGAAAATGAGTATAACTCCATGTCACAATTATTTGATGATCTAATCAGGATTAATCTGATTGGTCAGGACTGGGAATGTGAGCAGGATGTGATGATATGTTAAACTTTAAAGTCTTTTTCTTTATTTTCCACATTTAACATAGTCATGCTTTCGTTATGTTTTATTAATCCAAAAGACATAAAAATGACATCCTATGACTGTTTAACGTTCTTAGCATCAGTAATTGCTCATTTTGAGCTTTAGTGCTACAAACCCACATCACAGGCTTATTGTGGCTGGATTCTTTGACATGTTCCCTTTTTGGAAGTCTCCATAATATTTTCCCTCTACCCATCCCTTGTTTAATTCCTTTTCAAACAAGATCAAACAAAAAACACTAAAGAACTGCGAGTTCGCTGTATGACAGTGAAAACTTCCCAATGAGTTGATTTTTTTATTTTATTAGAATACATGATCGAGTCTGACATTACAAACAAAAGGTTTAAACATTATTTAGTAGAGTGTTTAAGAGAGACTCAGAGTAGGTAGAGCTTTCTACTTGACATTTATTCATACCTCTGCGTGTCTTCAGCAGATGATAGATGTCAGGGCTGTAACAGTACTGTGGTGCTCTTCTCTGGGAACCACCTCCATCTCTCCCTAAAAAGGAAATGAATAGATAAATAATGAAATGCCAAATCTAAATACTAAACGGCCTTTTTTACCCAAACTCTATAGCTATTAGTTTAATTCTATCTGGTTAAACTTTAAACTCACATGGAAAGTTGAAGAGATTGTTCATTTGTCTGCAAGTGACCAAACTGTGCACAAGCAGCGACAAGAGCAGCAAACAGTCCAATTCAATCTCACTAAACAACTGAGGCCAAGATAGAAGACAAAGATTGATTGTTCTCCATTGGCTTTCTTCAACTGAACGGTTTCAAACAAAATCAGAGCTCTGCCGTAAGAAATTAAATGGTTTTGATTCAATTTCATCTGTTTTGTTTCGAATACATTGTGTCTTTATATGAATATTTTCCCCACAGGTTGTACGTTAAATACCTGTGGTATAAGGAAAATGGTAGAAATACCTTGGTCTCGTCTGCCTCCTCCGCTCTCAGTCAGTTGGTCGGCCAGCTCTTCCTGAAGCTGCTGCTGTTGTCTGGGAGAAAGCCTCCACAGTGCCTGACCCATCTGCAAACAGCACAGATACACGTTAAGGTAAACAAAACAAACGTAACCGAGGGGATCACTCCAGACAACTGGTGGTAACTAATGAAAAAACTGAACATTACTGCCTTCTTCTTTGTCCCTCTGCAGTAGTTTACCACACATCACCAGCATTGTAAATTATCAGAGCGTTTAGATAAACTGGACTTATGTTACATTTTATTGGATCTTCCTTCAGATTTTGTTATGATAGTTCAGTTGTTTTTTTTATTGTGCAAAGTGTTAATATGTATATTCACCAGAAAGTTCAGATTAGCTACATTTAGATAAGGCAAGTGCCATATCATCAGCACATGCCACCGAGTCCAGCTAAAATCAATCTATCAAGCTAAAAACTGCAAAAGAGGGACAGACGTGTCTTGATATTTCAGCATCAGTTACCTCAAAATAAAAGCATGCAGCAATGCTTTGATTTACGTCAAAATAACTTCATGAGATAAAAATTGCTGCAAAGAGTATTGACCGTTACAGCTCTGCACATTATCAGGGTCTTCAAACTGTGAGGCTTCATGAACAAAGATGGAGATTCTATGGGACAGACAGTAGAAGAGGGTTACACAGTTCCTTTCTCTAAAGAATCATCCTTCCTTTGTTTGAGACATCTGGAAAAGGATTTCAGAAAGTGACTAGCACCCTTGTCTCGTCAGTGAAAAGTCAGATTAAAACCATCAAGACCAACTTCTTTCAACAATTTATTCAATATCTGATAATAATCTATGTATTTCCAAGCATGCAGGAGTTTGTTCCATGTGGCAAAAGCACTATCAAAACTGCTCAAAGACCATGATTTTAAATTTTGGAACAATTATCAGATCTTAACCCAATTAATAACATGTGAAAAGGTTTAAAAAGTAGTTCATATTACATTAAGCAATTATATTATTACGTTCAAACTTAAAGCAAAGTGCTTAGTTTACGAAGCATGGGAACATTTGCTATAAAATGTTATGAAGAAAAATCAACACTGGTAAAATTTTACTCTAAACATCTCCCTAACTATTAAATTGCGGTTTAGTATACCAGATGTACTACACAGTTAAGCTGACTTTATTTATACTGCCACCAGATTTAAAACTGTTTTAAAAAGCGGTGTCATTTTTAATGGCATGTCCAAATGCATGTATAATCTCATCATTAATCAGTCAAATCCTTTATTGTCGTTACAGTAATCAGATATTTTTCATTTTTGTTCACAGGCTTTTTCACGAGTCTCTTGGTTCACTCCAAATATTCTCAGTCGGCTTCTGCCCTCCATTAAAGATATTACGTACAAACAGAAGAAACATGATCAACATCTAATTTTGCAAGGAGTAAGAGGAATTGAGAAAAAAGAAAAAGAAAAACTAGCTCCAAAGGGAAATTAAACAAATAAATAAAATTGGGCTAACCTGTATACTGTGTTGAAACACTCTAAAAAATGTTCAAGCCACAAATTATCATGAGGCACTGCCATAGCTTTGGGTCATATTTGAGTAAGAATACTCCTCATGATTGTTCACTGGTTAAACAAGTTTGACAGTATTTGGGTCACTCGTGAAGAAAGCAGCACAGCGACAAAAAGCAGCCTCAGAACACGTAGACGTTTTTACTTTACAACCACGTACTAATATTTTATTAATATGAATAAATTTTGCGGGTTTCGTTTGCGACATCGGCAGAGTTGGTTGTCAACCCCTTCAATTTAGAATTAATTCCTTAATTATGTCAACAAAGGAGAGAGTAGTCCTGCTTTTTATTTTCCTGTATTCGGCACTTAATGAATAATATTCGTTGACAACGCGATCTATTTAAGTGTGGCAGCAAACGACGATGAGATGGCAGCTTTCTTAACACGCTGCCCTGTCCCGTTTTCCTTCTCGGTATCAGCTGTGTTGCATAAACAAATCCGCTGGACTGTTGTAAACATCAACGGTGGAACTTTCAGCAAGCAAGTTCGTATGACCTGTAGCCCCGCCTTCCCTTCACTGTCATTGGCCAAATATGTGACAGCAGTTGTTAAACAGGAATCTGATAGGTAGGTTTCGCTTTCCCTCAAAAGCTAACAGAAATCCCCATGCTAGCTTGCAAAGCTAGTTTAACTTGACAACAGAGAGCCATAATTTCTACTTTTTTCAGCAGTAGATTGTTACCGGACTCGTGTGTTGTTTGTTATACTAAATTACTGTTGCCTTACTTTATTATTTTGAGACAACCTCGTAAAAAAACTCCTGTTACCTACCTGAGTTTAGGGATTCCTTTGACAACCTGACCTGCACACTAGGACAAGTGAAAATGCTGATTTCATGCACTCAAATGTAGCCCGTAGTCATCTCCCGAACAAATCCCACCACACACAGATAATCCGCTCTGAATCAGAAACCTCCTTGCTTAGCGGGGTTCTTTGCTATTATCACAAAGCTATCATCTGTTTTCAGCCTCCTCCTCCTCTTCCTCCTCATACTGTCACTGCTGCCCCGCCCCTTCGTCCGCTGTCATCACAGAAGCAACGTTATCCGCAATGTTCGAAATAAATAATGTCTCTTATTTTTCTGGTTAAAAGCACAATATAAAGAGGGGGTATCAACACTACAACCGGGCATAAATAATTTGTTCTATATGAGTTTTAAAAAAACTCAGAAAGCAAGTCCGTGAAAGCTGCGTCATCGGTATCAAAACGTCGATTTGCGTAGGGTGTACGTAAGCGTGGAGCAGCCAATCCCGCGTCGTGCCGTTGAACACCCGGCAGAAACAAAAGTGCAAGAGGCAGAAATTTGTACTAGCTAGTAAAGTCGACATTTTACTAAGCGCACCAGCTAACTTGTTAATTATTGTCCGTTACAGTTCGGGATACGGTAAGTGGTTATTAATTTCTATGCAAAATCTTTTTTTTCTTTTATTGACGACGGCCAAGATTGATCAGTTAGTTCAATAATTGTTCAAAGCCTGTTCATCTGGATTTGACACTGCACACATTTCATCTGCTTTAGCTCCCGATGTAAACTCATTACATTCTAAAAAATAGTTATTTGTGCTTGGTGGAACCTTAATTTGATTTGTTAACGCCGAAAAGGGGCAATTTTAAGACTCTTAAATAGGATATGCTGGTGTTGTCTAACGTTGTCAGTCATAAATATTTCCCAAAACACTAAAAGTTGTAGCTAACTGCTGCACTTAGAGCATATATAGTGCCTGCTGTGTTATACATGAAAAAACTTTGTCTGTTTCCCGTAGGCTACAATGCTTTCTGCAGGAAATGTTCAGAGTTGCCTCAGGAAATTGGAAGCACTGCTGCGAGTGATTAAGTACCCATCAGATGTTGATTACAGTGGGTAAGCCTACCCAAGTTTCCCATTACAAAAATTATTGTAAGCCATGCAATATTTTTTCATTGAAACCTGAGTGTTCTTGCTCAAAATCATTATGCCTGGAAAAAAAAAATTTTAAGGATAATTTTTGCAATTACAGTTTTTGTTATTGTCAAAATCATGCCAAAACATCAAACATTGAGTTTTCTACAGTGCATTAAGTCAATGAGTAAATCTAATCAGCTGACATAACAGTTACATTTGTCCTTGTGTTGATGGTGTTTGTTTCTGCATCAGGCTTTCCAAAGGAGACCCCTCCTCTTTTCTGCCCATAGTGAGCTTCACCCTCACCACGTTCTCTCCACCTTTTGCTGAGCAGCTCGTGGCAGCTGGACTGGAACTGTCTGGCAAAACCGACCTCAGATTCACTGACACGCTTTATAAGGTAACACGGACCCATGTAGGGAGCAGAAAGAGAAAGCTGTTACATAACCATCAGATTAAGATCTGCTGACTAAAGCAAACACAAGCTTCTGCCTGCATTGGACAGTTTTTGCCTCAGATATTTTTTGTCTTGATAAAAGTTTGACACAAATTTATAGTGTCATTTTATTTAGTTCTACAAATTTATAGAGTCAAACACTTGTTTGCATGCTTTGCCTCCAGGTTCTTAGAGATATCTTCCACTATAAGCCCATACTGACCAAGGAGCAGTTCCTCCAGTGGGGGTTTTCTCAGAGGAAAATCTCTTTCATCTGTGACATCATTAATCTGGTTCTGCAGAGACACAAGCAGCTCCACAAGGTAACACACATTTAGAAGGAACAAATGAGAAACTGATCACTTGGGGACAGATTTAAATCCAGTCATTTAATAACAACTTAAAATTTTACAGTAACTCAGATTAAACTGATTCAGTACAGACATGACAGTTTTTCACAAAAACAAAAAAAATCAACATTTGTGCACTGGGTCATAATATGTAATTAAGATCAGCAGAACTAGCTGTGTTTTTGTTGATCAAGTAATTGCAAAATTTGACATTTTGTAAATAAAATTGCTAAATGTGGCAATTAAAAAAAACTCTTAAGTTTTTGCGGTAGGATGATTTTTTTCTTCTTTTTTTTTGGCTGTATCCGAATTGGTTTATTTTGAAGAATTGCGATTGGAAAAAAAGATGACTGGAAGTAGTTGGAGGATGATAGCACAGCCTGTTTTTAATGACTTAAAGTGAACAAACTTATTAACCTGGGATTTTATTTCTTTTTCAGTGGAAACACTGCAATTGTTTTTGACATTAGGATAATATTGACAGACACATTTGGAACTGAAATGCAGCTACTATGTAGCATTTAGAAGAAAGACACAGATGAAATGATATAAAGTTAAAATGCTACATTAGTCAGCTGCTCAACAAAAATATACACCTAGTGCTTCCAATAATTTTAACCGTGAGGAAATAAATGTATGGAAACTATACAGACAGTTCCGTATTATTATTTGAACAGTGTTTTTTTTTTTTTTTTTTTTGGCCCAAAGTGAGGTATCCTACTAAACACAATATCAGAAAGAAAAGTCATCTGACACTCACTGATGCAGATGCTGTAAGTCTAATGCTGAGATTTATTCCACCAGGACTTGATATGTTTTTATTTTTAACAAAGTTCCATTTTGTTTTAGGCGTCCAAAAATCCCTTTGTGGAAGATCACAGAAGAAATCCTTTCTATTTCGCTTATCCAGCCAAAAGAGACACTTTTTCTGCTGATAATGAAGGCTCTGCTTATCGCTCTGAAATATCCCCCTCTGGTTCATCTGAAATCCCAGCTCCAGATGAAGAGGAGTCAAAGGAGAGCTTTTTAAATGTAAGTGTAATGAAAAAGTAGATTAGTTTGTTCGTATTTATTGAATAATTTAATGTTGAGCACACTTTTTTTTATTAATTTCTTTCCATCTTTCAGTCATCGAAGGTAGAGGGAAGACTCTCGGCCCTGGAGAATAATATCGACACTCTTATGTCTGCGTTCAACAAGTTGAATATTCTGGAAAAACGACTTGAGGAACTTGAGCTCAAAAATGAAAATAAGGTTTATAAAATATTCAACTTTTTGAAATCTTAACTTTAAAATCTAATAACAGCATTTCCTCACCATCAATGGTTAAAACGTGTGATACTCTTTCATTTTCAGAATGATGAGGACGTTGTTATGGTACCCAAAGAAAGTTGGGAAAACCTGATGAGCAGAGTGGTGTTACTGGAAGCTAAACTGGAGCTAAGGGATACTCAGGTTGGACATCAAACTGGAACAATTTAATTCACTGATGTTGAGTCTGTCTGTAAAAGAGACAAAATGTAAGGTTGATTAGAAATATCCAAAACCATGTATTTTCACTGCATATGAATGCTTTTTTCCCCCTCTTTTCGTAGCTTAATGCTTCATCGCCAGCAGAGCCACTCACCTCCTCCCTTTCAGCTGTCGATTCCTCACAGGTGAGAACAATTTCTTACTCCTCAGTATCCATCAGGCAGTCATACTCGAATCAGCATGTTTCACACAGACAGGTGTGTATGTTTAGCAAGACAATTTGCAATTAGTTCATTGGAGGTCGGGCGCCCACACCAAGGAGGGGACCTCTTGAAATAAATAACATGTATATAGTTAAGCCCAAAATTACCCATACACCTGGCAGATTTTGATTTAAAGTTATATTTTTTTCATTCAACCAAGAAAATAGTTTCTGATAAGAAATGAGGCAGGCATCTCTAAAGTATCACATTTTTTTAAGCTTTTAAAAAATATTGGTTTTATTTCCAATTTTAATAAAAATTGGATAGATAAAATACATAGCCTTCTCTGAAATCGGTAGACAAAACTTTATGGATGTTAGAGCAATCTTTATCGTGCATCAGGGCAGATGTATGTGTATTTTTCCAAATTGCCACCAGGGGCGCTATTGGCACGATTTTATTTTTCTCATTTTGAGCTGTTACATTTTTATAAGACAGCTAATAACTTTTTTTTATATACATTGCATTTTGTGTGTATCATTAGTAGAAATTACACACTGACTTTATTTTGAGAAAAAAACCTGGTGCTGTTTTTCTTGTTTGTCCTTTTTTTATCCAGAAGGATCTAAAGGAAAGTCTGCAGAGGATTGCTAACATGTAAGTGTTCATTAGATGCCATTGAGTTCCCCATTCTGTTCAATTAGACATTAAAGCAATAAAAAGCATGTTTTATTTCTGTTTAATGTTATGTACAGGAGTTTAACATACCAAAGTTACTCTCTGTTTTGGATTATCTAATAGATCAGTTGTGTTTAAACACTCAGACCTTTTTTCTTTTATAGCCCTATTTTTTAATATTAGGGCTGTTAGGCTGGTGTTTTATTTTACCTTTTTTGTGCTTTTTTTAGGATGAAGGAAACTTCTAGTCTGCTGAAGAACAAGGAGTCCTGCAGCATCCTGCATCTAAATTCTGACAGCGGAGTCACGTCTTAGCTCTTAATGTTATAATAAATGGACACTTTTCTGTCTTTAAGTTTATTGATTATATATAAATGTATCCCCAATGATCACTTTTATCAATGCATTAAATTTACTACCATATAACCTTTTGACATTAAATGGTTGTGAATGTAATTTCTTACCACAATGTAGTGTTTATTCATTCTCTCCTGTATTATTGTCGATCAAAAAAAAACAAAAAACTGTCCCCACGTCTAAAACTGTCAACAATGGGCACATGACCATCACAATTGGACTCCAGAGTAATAAAAGTGGTCTGGTATGATAAATTGTTATAGATACACTTTGCAGCTCCCATGTTTCAACTACTGGGACTGAAAGGATTTCCTGCTAACATTTTTGCTATGAGATACCACAACAAGTCTTTGGGGATCTAGAGGAATCCATGCCTAGTTGGGATGTTTTACAAGCAAAAGCGAAATCAACACACTACTGGGCAGGAAGCCATCTTGTCCTGAGTCTAGTTTATGTAGGAACAAAAAGAATCTGGAAAACTTGCAGCAAAGACACAAGCTACCATTGTGGCATGACTGTCCTATAGTTAAAGATTGGAGTATTGTATCTGATCATTGCATTTCTAATAATTTAAGAAGATGATTCACTAAAAGCAAAGCAGAACCAAAGTTAAATTCCTTGTGTGCACAAAACACAAAAGTTACAGGTCTGATTTTGAATGGTGGTATAACTGTTACTAACCTTTAGGTTTTGTTAAAATTATTGTTAGAATTTTATTCAGTTGAACAACTTAGAACTGCTGCTTCTTAACTTCCTTCCTTTTTGGGAAATTATACATCGCACAAAGAGCTAAGACTGGTCTAAAATTATTTCGCTGTATTTGTAAATTGTATCCAACAGGTGGCGATAAAGAAGATGGGCGTGAATTATAAGATACGTTTTTACGCCCCTGAGCAGGTCTAACAAGGTAATCAAAAAATATGAAATAACACAAGACCCATTCCTTAAGTATCAGCAGTGAAGTCAGTCTGGTCTGCAATACCATATTTTTCGTCACATGTACAAATCAGGTTTTTTTAGTGAAAGGACAGAAGTTGTTGCTTCACCTGTCAGATTACGCATTGGGCTCTTTAACCCACGGTAAACGCGGGAATTTATTCCCCCTTCAGAGTAACAGGGTTCTGTTGTGTTTGTTTGCGCTGCTCAAACGTTGCTTCCTATTTTCGGTGCAACTATGGAAGAAAACAAGTTGCCGGACCTGTTGAATGGGTAAAACTTCGCTTATATTACAAATGACTAACATGTCCGAAGAGTCAGATAATAACTTGAATGTTTCATCGTATGCGGTTCGTTTTGTCTCGATCTCCAGCCTGAGAGTCCACGTCAGCATGTCTGTCACATGTATTAGACATAAAAGTAGAGGTATGGTCGTGTTAAATGTGTTTGTTACGTTAAGATGGACCTTGAACAATTGATATATTTAAATAAGTTTCATACCAGTCCTATATGACTTTTTGCTTGCTCATGCGCATTACCGTCCTCTTTGAGCGAAGGGATTTTTCCTCTCCACCTCAAAAATTTTGTTTGGTATTTTTCCTCAAGCAAAATTTTACTCAGTCTTATCCATCTCGCAACTTTAAAGTTTAACTTAAATAATTACGAGCTGTATATAAAAACTGACAATGATTAACACAATCACCAGGTTTTAATCCCAAAATCACGAGGCTTTAAATGTGAGTTTTCTGACCTGTAAATTCTGATTTCAGAGTAACAAATGAAATCTATTAAATTAAGTCTTCATCCTCCACATTTACTATGTCAACGATTACTCAGAAGTCAAAACAATAAATTCAGCTAATCAGAGACAAGGTTGTTTAAACTTTTCTCCATAATTCATTAAACTATATTCTGTCTTTGTGTGTCTACAGTGGCGCGACCCGGAAAAGGGATGACTACCTGGAGTGGCCAGAGTATTTCATGGCTGTGGCCTTTCTGTCAGCACAAAGGAGCAAAGACCCAAGCTCACAGGTGAATGTGAATGGACGGAATAAAGCTACTAAATACTTTGGCTAGGGGTTGACAGTTGCATTTTTATTAACTACTTAACATATTAAGATATTTTAACGATTTTTCGTGACAACATGGAGTATTTTCTGTAGAATTTGTGTCAAGTTGAACGTGGTTTTGTGTGTGTGTGTGTGTGGTAAATAACTGATGTTTTCGGACCCTCTTTCTGTCTTCCTGCAGGTGGGTGCATGCATAGTGAATCAGGAGAATAAGATTGTTGGCATTGGT